CTTCTCCTGTAGCTAACATATATTTTTACAGAGAAAAACGTAAGTGGGGAAGGAAAGGAGGAGCTAGAGATCCCTGGAGAAAAAGACACTGATTTTGCAAGTGCAGGGGTGATGACGCAGCTGCTGAAACTCATTGGCAAAGAACACTGCAATGGCTTCTTACCCGCTTCTCCCATATTATCATACATCAGCAACCTCAAAAATTTTTACTCTTTCTAAAAGTTTCCATTTGGGCTCTGACTGAAGGTGAAATGTCCTGGAAGGTTTGAGCAAAAGAAAGTGGTAGCTTTTTATGTGGACTCAGTGTAATGAAACCATGCTTTCCCAGAAATAAATTACAGTGCCAAAAGGCTTAAATTCTTCCTATTGTCTGATTTTGCTCTGATTTTGCATTTTAAAGAGAGAAATAAAGACAAAAGTAAATTAGAACTACTACTTAAGTAAATTAGCAATGTGTAAATTATTTACCCAATTAAAAAATCAAGCAGCAGAAAATACCGAAGGTTGCAAACATAACCTTAATTCAATTAATAATTTTTTCTATCCTTAGCTGTTGTTTATTTGGTCAAAATAAATGATGCTGCTCTCTACCCCATGTTTACAGAGCTAGCTGTGCCACAAGTCACATGGGATAGCTGCTCAGATATGGTCCCCTTCCATTGCATCACCTAGAGCATCATCCCATCTTTGTCCATGAGACAGGTTAATATTTTGTGTATTAATATGCCAGTATAATACTGATGCAACAGAATATGACTTTATAAAATGTAATATATATGTATAAAATTTAGAATTGAATAAATAATATAGGATTTTACCTACTCTTTGTTAAACATCACAATGTGCTTGTTAGTAGGGATTGTTACAACATTCACCTTTGTGGGTGTAATCCTTGCTAAAAATGTTCTCTAGTGTAGAGAGATCACATATCTCAGCATTTGCTAGATACAGTTTTCTGTATGCAATATGTATTCATACTGATTAAAAACACTAATGTCCTCTAGATTATATATCCATGAAATAAAGAGCAGTGATGGACTGTACATTGTCTGTCTTCCCAAAATGCATTTTACCTGTCCAAGGGTTATAGTGTTTTAATTGACAGCCCAAGAGCTAAGAAGTCAAGAAGTGTCACAATTGGTTTGTCCATATAACCTTTAATCTGTTGTTCTGCATATTCTCAAGTATGTAACAATATGCATTAGTTAAATAAATGAGCACACACTCATCTGTCCTCAGGAAAAGTGTACATTTGCAAGTAATGAATGCAAAATATTTAATACTTATACAGAATCCAATTAATTTCTGAATGCAATTTGTCTTCATATTTCAGGGGATTTTTAAATTTGTCCTAGTTAATTATGGTAATCCAGTAGTATTACTCTGACTTCACTCTGATATTTAAAGCAGCAACTTCTTCATGTTAAAAGAAACTTATTATTCTTTTTCTCCTTGGGAATGTATGCATTTTGTACGAGATCATAACTGGACATTTGTGAGTCCCAGTTAATTTGTCTTATCGGTGGCCTTCAGGAAAAAAAATGGGGTTAATCAAATGATTTAGCATCATCTAAACAAGAACTAAGTAACCATGCTCATATTATTCTTATGAGCACTTCAGTTAACCCCGGTGAGATTACTCACCTGAATCAAATGAACAGGATCAAACTTTCTGATCACTAACTAGTTTGTGTGATGTCAAAATGAATGTCCATATAGTGTGAATATTAAAAATGGAGCTAAGGATGGACTTTTGATTCTGGGGACCATTTTTATAATTTAAATGACTGACAACTCATAAAATGCAAAGGTTGTTTCTAATAATGTAATCTAGCAGTTCATACAATTCAAAACCACATTTGTCTGTTAACTGCTAGGTGAATTTTAGCACTTTGACCCAAGGAATGCCCTTTGGTTACACTCTACAGCACCTAACACACAGGGTTGCAACCTCAAAGGCACTCAATGGCAGTAGTTTTGCCATTAATCACAGAAAAGAGATAATCTGCGAATGAGCCAACTGGAGCAGTATGACCCAGGAGGGGGTTACAGCAGAATTCACTAAGCCCTGAAAATTCAAAACTAAACTGAGACTTTGTCCTTTATTCATCAGATATCACAAGTTTTTGCAACAGAACTTACATAACCTGCAGCAGATGCTGTAATACATAAATGAATTGATCTGAGAGTTGATGTTAACTGTGAATATCTTTACTTCCATGCATTTGTTTTTATTCCTAAAAAAAAAAAAAAAAATTAACTTTTTTGGTGGTGGCTGGTGGCAAAGCAGAGCTTTACAGGAGTTCAGTGTCACAGATACATTTTCTACCATGTGCACATGTTTACCCCTCAGGCAGAAAAAAGTGCATATTCAAATTGGTGTGGTTATTAAAATGAAGTCAAAACCACATATTTGCAGAAATAGTCTGTCTGCAAAATTGCATTAAAAAAAACACAAAAAAAGGGTCCATCAACCTAGCCAAAGCAAGCACAAGAGTCTTCTACAAGAAATTCTGCATAAATCTCTGGTTTATTTCGAAGCTATTTTAATCTGGTTTTGTAATTATCTTCCTTTTCTCTTGATATACATGTCAGTGCATATCCAGTGGGCCAAATTACATATTTGTTAGTTAGTTCCACTAACTTTCTGTTTCCTTAAACCCAAGGAGACAGTACAGAGAATCAGATTTCACAGGGGACACATTAGGAGAAGGAACTGTAAATGCCAGTGCACATTGCCCATGGCTCAGTGTTTCTTCTCCTGTTAAAACTGTCCCCTTAGACAGTAATGGTAGTTTTTGCATCTCAGTGCTCATCAGCCTCCATAGAAGGAATGCTGCTGCACTGAACAACAAGCTCAGTGCTCTCAGAGGGATTGGCGGCATGTGGGCTCACAGGACACAGCCACCAGGAGAGGAGGGCAATGCTGAGCAGCTGACAATCCAGGCATTGGCAGGTCACCATGAACTTTACATGGTCATTTTCCTGCTTTCTCTTCATTATCCTGAGAACCAAAACCTTCGACAAATGTTTCCCAGAGTTTGAATTTGGGATTTTATGGTCCACAGCCTGAAAGAGCTCCAGGGGCAGCAGTGTGTTGTACATCATTTCCTTTTCTCTATCCTCTTTAATAAATGACAAATAAAATGGTGAATTACAGGTTTAAACAGCTGACTGTGGGTTCTGCCAATAGTCCTGAGACTTACTGAAGCCCAGGAAAGGGGTTTCAAGTATGGCTTTGGAAGAACCCCTGTCTTTGCCTGGCCTCACCTATTACCATTTTCCTGAGTGTCTCTCACCTTTCAAGAGCCCCAGTCCTCCTGGTTGGCAGCAGGAACAATTGCAGCCTCTGAAAACCACTTGAGCAGTTCCTGTTTGGATCTTTTTGGACTGCTGTCAGGCAGTGCACCCTCTCTGCTCTGCCCACATTTCAGTGCCCTGTGTAAACTCCTGCCCTTGCAAGGAGGAAGCACTTCTCCTAGAATGGGTTCTGTGGCAGGAGAGCTCTAGATGCTTATGTCTGAGTGGTTGTTGATGCCTGAGCCCCACAGAGATGCCCAGTTCCCAAAGGAAGATGGTCATTCAGAGTTGCCTTCATACTTTGTTCCAAACTGTATATCCATCAGACCCTCCCTGCAAAGATCTATTTGCCAACTACAAAATGGAAGACTGAATTTCAAATCCAGAAATTTTGGAAGGTCTTACATCTAAGTGCAAAGAAGTGGCTGAATGTTAACCTTGGACCAGGACTGGGTAAAAGTAACTAGGAAACTGCCTTTCCTATACTTCACCTAATGCCCCCAAATACAGAAGTAGAAGGGGAGCCTATATCCCTGACAGCACAACTGTTCACAGAGCTCTGTTGGGACCTGGCTCCAAAGGGATGAGCCTGGGGATCTCTACAAAAGTCCACTCCAACTAATACACAGAGCAGCCCCAGTACCAACATAACTGTAGGGATGCAAACAATTAGAAGAGGGCAGAAACACCTGAGGCCATCACTGTCACCAGGGGAAAAGGCTGTGCACCTCAGCTTGAATTATCCACAAGCTGAGCTGAAAAGACCAAAGGGGAGAAGTGAACGAAGCTTGCAAAGGAATGTTAAGCAGTAAGATATCCCACCGCAGCTCCGCTACAAGCATTTGTTTCAAACAACAGTTGTTTTCTATAAATCTGACTTGAAAATTGGTGTCTTCCTACTTCTGAGAGAATTTGTTCGCTTCATCTTTTTACTGGCAAAAGCACTGTTATTGCTTTTCATTCCTGTCAGCCCTGCAGAGCCATGTCAGCGCTGTGGAGGTGAACTGGAGTCTATTTTGGCAGGAAGCAGAAAGAACACAGCTTGATCTCAGATCCCAGGGTGAATTTTCAGTGCTGGCAGTCGAGAAAGTTGTGGTTTTATTTGTAAATTAAAAGAGAGGTCAACAGGAAAGTCATTTGGGAAAAGAAACTGAAAAAAGCAAATATGGAACCCTACCATGCCATTTATAGTCTCTTTATAGGTGAGAGCACAGTTTACATAATGTAATTTGAGTTATAAATAATATTATTGTTTGTTTCAGCCAAAAAGCTGTAGCTCATTTAATTAAGAGAATGGATGTGTTTGTGTTGTGTTACTCATTACTTTATTGTAAAATATGTTTGTCATGATAACCTATGGAAAAGTTACTGCAATGGCAGGGGAAAGGATAGTAAAAGAACTTACACAATTTCCAGTAAGAGAAAAACCTGAGGATTATCAGATCGGTTTGTTCCTGTAAATCACGTAGCTGAAAAAAAAGAATAAAGAAAGAAAAAGAAGTAAGGGAAGAAATATGAATTGGCATATTTGACTTTGGAGTCCAAAGTTAAAAAGAGACCACTTGCACAAATAAGTCTGGGAGAGAGGCTTAGTCATTTCCTAAATCTGTTCAACACTCACGGTGTCCCATTGCCTTGGCTGGTGTGCAGTGCATACTCAGCAGTAAACCATACAATATCTATCAATCTTAAATGCTCACCTATTTCAAGCACCATTGATGCAGAATTGCCGTGTCATGTCAAACAGAAATGTTCACTGCAAAAGAGAAAAAAAACATGTTTTTTCTAATACTATAAACGGAAACACCACACAAAACCACAGATGCAGCAAAAAAAATACATCACACCATCCAGAAATCTAAGATGGCAACAGAGGATGATTTGTAGCACTTCTTTGAGCTAAGTAAATATTGACATTTAATTTTTATGAGGTTTATGTGACCTTCCCCCTCACCCAAAAAAAAAAAAATAAAAAAATGAGGTTTAAAAAAAACCCAAAACATTGGGCAGTATAAAACAATATTTCATAATTTCAGATTGCTGTATATGGAACAGATTGTTCCCATCAGGAGCAAGGCAAGTCAAGGAAAGGTAAAGAAGAAACACATTCTTGTGTGCCAAGGTGAATGAAGCAAGGGGATGTGATTTGATTTTTAATGAAGGGACCCACCCAATGACAGTAACACATGTACAAAGATGTTACAAGCTATTTCCATGGCTCCCTAATGCGGCTGCTGTTTTGTGCAGGGAAGAGGCAGGGGATAGGAGACTGAGAGGGCTGTCCCCCTCAGATTCAGAGACCAAAGTCCAAGCTCTGATCTGTGCTGATGCCAAAGGCCATTTTCAATAAATCCAGTTATAAATAGAAACTCATCTGTTGAAGCCAGGAACTCCAAGGCATCCGAATGTGATGCTAGCCACATCACACCCCTGGCTGTCGCTAGTTATAGAAAACACTATACTTTGGTCATGCTTTCTTGGAAAACCACATAGGCAGACCTTTGACCCATATCAATACAGGGGACCTCGTTTTACTTTAGCACAGACAAGTGAAGTTACAGATATATCCCAGTGATAGCTGATCACAAGGGTCTCAAGCTAATATAAGAAAATCAAAATCAAAGTAGCTAGGCTATCTCCATTGCTTAAACTAAAGCAAATGTATAAATCCAGCACTTGAAAAGTAATCTAGATTGTTTGGCCACATATTTCAGTTAATCTGCGGACCACAACATGCAATTCCTAGTCTTGGAGCTTGCAAACTTGTGGTGGATCAATAAGCCAGACAAAAACCAAGTCCAGCTGGTACCAAAACTGAAAACAAAAAGGCACCCTCTCCACAAAAGAGAACCACAGAGATATCACTGCTTTGGAAAAAGGGCTAGAGATGTCAGGAAGCTACAACACTGCTCACATACTGTATGACAAACTGTGCAGCACAGGGTCACAACTTATGCTATCCTTGCACTGAGCAAAGGGGCAGTGAAAAATTGGTGCAGTAAACACCTTAAAGAAACTTTTGAATGATAATGAAGGCGGAAATTGTCACACAACTTCTAAGGCAGGTATGCTCCGGAGAGGTTTCACCAGTCCCAGCTGAACCATCCTTCCTCACTGGAGCAGCAAGGGAATAAAAATCAGAGATTAAATACAGCTCCTGGCACAGCATGTCTGTGAGGGAGACCACTTGCCCTGGTGGAGTGTTGGTTGAACCCCCTTCTAGTCCCTGGGGCTCTCAGCCTCAACCCCCACCAGGAAGAGGGTTCCCATCCTGGGGAACACTGAGCCGGGGTGGTAGCTTCACCCAGCAGCATTGAGACCCCAAGGCTGGGAACAGGGTTGCCCATGAGCCCCACTACAGCCAGGGTTACCTGGGACCAGGGCTTGTCACCAATGCACAGCAACACCAGGGACCATTCTTTCTGTCACTGTGTTTCATCCCCTACCCCAAATATAAACAACCCTCAAAAAAAGTGAAAAACATGGAAATGGAAAACCAGTGGGGAAAAAGTGCTGTAGTAAAAATAAATGACACCTGATGTGGATGCACTTCATCAGTAGATTTCAACATTGGAGTTTTAAACATCTTCAACAGAGAAACATATTAGTTCATAAGAAAAAACACCCTTCTGATAAAATGGAGACAAGATTATTGACAATGAAGATTTGGGGTTTATTAAAATACTTCAGGGCTTTAATTGAATCTTTGCCTTTGCTACCAAAAAATATTCACAATATATTTGAATGCTTTGCTTTTCTGTACCATAGAGAGAAGACCTTCATGAACCATCTAATTTTGGAATAGCATGAATTCTCAGGACCAAGGAAGGGAGCATGCCAAGGTAATAAATTGTTCACTGCTCAGCAAAGAGGAAGCATCTGGGGACTCCAGCATGGCAACAGAGACTTTATAGAATACAGCAGGAGGCTTAACCTTTTTACTTGACTGAAGTTGGCAATTTCTGAGAGCCCGTGAGAGGTACCTAAGGAAAACAAGGCTTTTGTCAGTAGGATCAAATTCACTGCAGAGAATCCTTACTCATTCAAAATTCATCAGAAGTCTGTAAGTTTAAAATAGTTGAACTCTGTGGTATAATAAATCAGTAATAAATATGACCAAATCAGATTAAGCAGAAAAAATAAAACTCATAACAGTGCAGTTTAGAACAAGCAAAATCAAAGCATAACATAAAGATCAAAGAGTGGTAGGGACGGTCAACACATATTTATTTTTGTGACAAAAGTTGGTGATTATTTCTTCTGTAGAATATGCAAAATCTCACTTGTCCTGAATGATGAGTGCAAAAATTATACACATGATACTGTTCTGGTCTGCACTAATTGATCTTTTCTGCCAGCATCCCACTAGCTTAGATTTCCACAGGCATTCTAAACAAACTGCTGTATTTTTGACAAGTTCACATGGGCCCACCTCTCAGGCCTGTCAAGTCCCTTTGGATGGCATCCCCTCCCTCCCTCAATCACACCACACATCTTAGTGTGTTGTTGGCAAACTTGCAGTCATACGTTTGGGAAAGTGTATTGTGTCTGTAGTCTAAGAATACCCTTTGAAAGATTCATGCTCAAATTGTGTTGGTTAACTGGAGCCACTCTAACATTTAAAGGCAGGAAAGGCAGTAGATGAGCCATCTGTGGCCTGAAACAGTGTGGTAGGATGGACATCACTCTTTCCAGGTCAAAAAACAACAAACAAACTTACTACAGGAGTGGAGATTGTGCACTTAAGCAAAAAAAGATTAATTAAATTGCACCTATTTTATACTTTGCTGTATTTCCCTCTGTCTTTTGGTATTAACTGCAGACTGCATAACATTTCTTTATCGAACGATAAGCGATAACAGTTCAGGTCCTGTTAAAGCCACAAGGTAAATGGGATTGCTACTGCGACAGCAGGTGGGACAAGTTCAGGGAAGGAAAAGTTAAATGTGTTGGAATCTGCTCAGGGCTTTGGGACACTGGCACCCCACATCAACAAGGTGCAAATAAATTTTAGCCTTGCAGAAGTTACCAAACATGTATTTCTTGACATTATGATTTTTTGTTCTCTAAATTCAGACATGTAGGTGTGAAAATTCACACAAGTCTGTGAGTTTCCACGGTTGAAATAACATCACTTTCTGGGTGTCAAAGGAGAAATTGCATTATTTAAGTATGAAAAACAATATACATCTGAAGACAGAAATTTCAGCAATTTGATGACGGTACCATTTTAATCCTGATCTGTGTCTCTTGACATGTGTTTCTCAGGAAAAGTGAGGACAGTGTAACAGGGGACATCCTTCTAGTCTTACCCCTGCTAATTCACTCCACCTCACCTCTGACAAACCAGAAGCCCTAAAGGGTAATTTGTCTGAGCCTGCTCCAAACAAATCTTTTCATGTCTGCTCTATTTAGGAGAGGCAGGTGAACCCCTGTAGCTCCCCTAAGATTAAAAATACTGCTTGTATTTTAGAAAAAAAAGAGCAATATTATGTTATTTTAACACAGTTGTGGACATAGGTCTATTGGGCTAACCTAAGACTCAGTGTCTATTCTCTCATAAGAAGAGGTGTTAGAGCATGGCAAAGTCTTCTGGGGGTAAGCACCTCCCTGTTCGCCTGACACTGATGTTGCAGGAGAGGTAGTGCTGAGGTATAAAAGAAGTGCCAAGTGTTGGTCATTTTTTGTGCAAAGCGCAGAGCTTTCTGCTGTGAAACGTAGAAAGTAATTGCTATTGATGAAATTGGATAACACTTCACAGGTTTCACAGTGTCCTGGATTCAACAGTAGCAGTCATTTTTCTCCTTCTTAGTAGCTGGTGCAATGCTGTGGTTTTGACTTTCAGCCTCGAAACAGCGCTGATAACATCAATGGTTTTAGTGACTGTTCAGTAATGTTTAGTCTGACCAAGGGCTTTCTGAGTCTCATGCTCTGCCAGGGAGGAGGGGAAGCCAGGAGGAAGCAGAGACAGGGCACCCAACCCAAACTAACCAAAGAGGTATTCCATACCACCCAGTATATAAACTGGCGGCAGTTACCCGGAAGGGCTAGGTCACTGCTTGGTCAGTCTGGGTATCGGTCGGTGGGTGGTGAGCGGCTGTATTCTCTTCCTTTGTTATTTCCCTTATCATTATTATTATTGGTGGTAGCAGCAGTGGTTTGTGTTATACCTTAGCTACTGGGCTGTTCTTATCTCAACTCGTGGGAGTTGCATTCTTTTGATTCTCCTTCCCATCCCTCTGGGAGCTGGGGAAAGAAGTGTGGGTGGAGGGAGTGAGTGAGCAGCTGCGTGGTTCTGAGTTACTGGCTGGGCTTAAACCATGACACAAAAGAAGCTGATTCTGTGGCAATCATGTAATTCTATTAAGTTTTGTTATTTTTGTGATATTCTGTAGAAGAAATCTGTATGTGTAAAGCCCAACTGTTTCCAGGTGCATTATGGTTTATCTTTGTATACTGGTTTTAGACAAACACAAATGCATATATCAGTTTGCAACCAGGTAAGCTGATATTTTTAAAAACACCCAGTGTAATTTGTTCCTTTCTTCAGAAAATAGTGGAGATCTTAAAACATCTAGTTCACTGACAAATCAGGTAGTTGTTCAGTCCAAGTATGGTAAAGTAGACTTGGGAGAAGGGTCAACCATATTGCATACCAGCAATTTAGTAGAGCTGTCAGCTTTGGCTCCATCTCTTCGTCCTCTGGGTGCTCCCAATGGACTAGATATGGAAAAGAGGGAAGCTTGTAGCCTCAGA